CTTAAATTACTATAGCGTAACCGTTAAACGTACGTACACTTCTACTACTTCTTCTCTATATAACTACGTCGCTACTAATTAGTTCGGTACGTTAATTATCCTACTACTACTCTCCTCCTCTCTCTCTCTCTCTCTCTCTCTCTCTCACACACACACACACACACTCTTAAAAGTGTTGTGGCCTGTGACTGCAGGCAGAGCTTCAGTTCTTACATGAGTATGTAGGGGTCACAACGAGCGTCGGCTTGACGGCAAACCCTATGGTGAATTTCAGTACCACTGTAGGGACTGGAGAATTTGCCTTCGGTACTGATGTCTCTTTCGACTCGGCCACTGGGGCCTTCACCAAGTGTAATGTAGGCCTAAGCTTCTCTCAAGCAGATATAATTGCCTCACTGAACTTGTGAGTCATGGAAATTTCTCTCTCTCTCTCTCTCTCTCTCTCTCTCTCTTACATTCATCAAGCTGCCTGTCAATTACTTTATCAAATTAATTCCTGATCTCTTTTTTGGGGCTTTCTCCAAAAACCAGGAACAATAAGGGAGATACACTGATAGCCTCATACTTTCACACTGTGAACCCCCTCAAAAACACAGCAGTTGGAGCTGAGCTCTCACATACTTTCTCTAAAAGTGACGATACCCTAACCTTGGGCATGATGCAGGCCTTCGACCCACTAACCACATTTAAAGCAAAAATCAACAACTATGGCAAAGCGAGTGCACTGATTCAACATGGATGGAGGCCAAAGTCACTTATGACCATCTCTGTCGAGGCTGATGCAGGAGCCATTGAAAAGACCACAAAGGTCGGGCTCGCCATGGTCCTTAGACCATGAAAGTCTATGTAGAGGCTGATGCAGGAGCCATTGAAAACAGTACGATGGTCAGGCTTGCAGTGGTCCTTAGACCATGAATGTCATTTGAGTTTTTCTCCATAGTTTTTGAAGATTGTAACAAGGGAATGTAGCTTGAGCTTTCTTGCCTTTTTGTGCTTGGGGTTCCTGTATCCTTTTCTCTCATATTTGATTATGTAAGGAATAATTTCTGGTTATTCCTAGGATGCTCCAATTTTGTTACTGGCTAATGCTTCTTCCAATTTCTCTATTTTGCTTGATTGGATCACTCTGTGTCATATATACACACACACAGTTGGGAAAAGGGCTATCATGATGATGATGATATACACACACATGAACAACACAACAAAATCATTTTTGAGAACTAGAGTCAACATATTACATGAAATTTTCTCTAAAAGTACAGTTGGTTGGATTCAGGCACCGGAATTCTGGCCAACCCTCTTCGAAGCCACAATTCATACATAACCATATAGAAAGCATCATAATTTTCTGGTACCTTATGCCACTGAAAATGCTTTCGAACTTCGAGCACATTCCGCTGCAACTCTTCGTAGTCTTCAAAGCTTATTTCATGTAGAATTTCTTTTAACAGAGGAATATCAAGGGTAGCAACAACCAAAGAAAACTTCTTCCAGTCTAGAATATCAGTGAAAGGGAGATCGTAATGGTTGGCTATGACTATAGGAACACAACCATAAAAGAGCGCGTCTGCAATTCGTGCTGTGTTTACTTCAAAGCCTTTAACATGGAGGCAGAATTTGCTGTGTGATAAAGCTTTGGAATATGGGATTGAGAGATTCCCAAAATGGACAGAAATTTCAGAGTCATTTCTCCAATGTTCAAGAAGATTTTGGCGCACTGGTGAGTTATTTGACCCTGCGAAAAAGGCTAGTTTGTCCCTGAAACAAATGAGAAATATTTGCGATAAGGCTCGGACGATGATGATGAAATAGCTTTCTCCTCAATTTGTCATGGAAGTTAATTATCAAGAAAAGAGTATAGATATCATGAGTAAGCAATATCATTGATTCATGAAGGAAAAATTCAGAAACCTATTTCATTCTGATGAGAATCTGCTAATTGAAAATTGTTGAAACTCTTTCTTATCTGTAACGTATCAACTTTAATAATGGAAATTCCACATAAGAGAGACATGATTCCTGTCACTCAGTTCTTGACCTTTAGATTGAATATGGGAAATACCACAATGGGAGTTTTCAAGTGAACCACAAACAACTCTACCAAAATGCACTCTTTTTAAGTACAAGATCGATTGATACTAATGGACGCAATTCCCTCTCTCTCTCTCTCTCTCTCTCTCTCTATATATATATATATATATATATATATATACGTACTTACTTACTTACTTACGTTACGTACGTACGTACTACGTACTACGTACGTACTACGTACGTACGTACCGTCTCTCTCTACTACGTACGTACGTAC